ATAAGATGCTCAATTTGTGGCCAGGAGGGACATAATAAGACACGACATGCCAACCAAGAGACATCATAGGTATTTAGGTTATATTTTCTGTAGTTTAATTTACTTTTGTTATTATTTACTTAAATTAGTTTTTTGTTTTTGTTATTGTAGGCCGTTCTTAATTAGCCCAACCAAGGAGCAGTTGGCTCTTCTACAGTCCAAGGGGCAGCTTAGGTATTTGGGTAATGCATTCTGTAGTTTAATTTACTTTTGTTGTTGACAACTTTAATTGATTTTTTGTTTTTGTTATTGTAGGCCGTTCCTAATTAGCCCAACCAGGGATCAGTTGCCTCTTCTACAGTGGAAGGGGCAGCTCAAGTATTTTAGTTAAAATCTCTTTAGTTTAATTCTTTTTTGGTCTTTAGGCCCAACCAGTTCATATGACCCTTTTTTTTGTTATTGTTTAGTTTATATCATGTTTATTTTTATTTTTTAGGCCCACCCTAATCAGCCCAACCCAACTAGAGGCAAAAGGAGAGGTAGAGGAATTACTACAGGAAGAGGGAGAGGAAATGGGAGAGGAGAAATGCCAACTGGAAGAGGAAATGTAAGTGACAACTCTGTCATGCTACTTTGGTTGGTTAATTTACTTTAGTTAGTTAATATGGTTCCATTTTATTTTAGGTTGGAAATGGGACAACAGAAATGCCAAACAATTTCTCATCATCACAACCACTCTCGTCATCATCACAGCCGGTCTCTTACACTGGAGCTACATCATCACCATCACAACCACCCAAGTCTCCTGCCAAGAGAGTGAAGTCTCCTACCAAGAAGCTTAAACCATGGATGTTTTGAAGGCTAACTAGGAGGATGTCTGTTGGATGTTTTTTTGAAGTAGTTAGATGTGTTTTATGAATGGTTTGTTAGATGTGTTTTTTGAGTCTCTGGGCTGGAACTTACTATCATTGTTTTGTATTTGGTACATTTTGGTACATTTGGTACATTTTGGAAGCTGTAACTTGGAACCTGATTTGGTACATTTGGTACATTATGCTTCTGTTTCACTTGGAACTTGATTTGGTACATTTTGAAAGCTGTAACTGAATGTTATATATGCTGATTTGGTACATTTTGGAACTGGGTGTTATATATATTGATTTGGTACATTTTGGAACTGGTACAAAGCATCATCAAATTTAATTGCAAAATGAACTCAAATTTCATTGCAAAATTTCAATACACTAACACCAATATGTCCACCAAACTCGAACTCAAAGTTCATTGCAAAATGAACTACATATCGGTTATATTTCGACCTAATTGATCATAAGCTTTTCATAGTTTCCACTCGGAAATGTCAACCAATTGCTCAAGACATAGAGCATCATCATAAAGACCCAATGACAGAAATGAAACCCCCCAAATCTGATTCTTTCTTGGTCATTGGCCTGTTCTTTTCTCTTCCAACAGTCTTTTCTGCTTGCCTAGTTCTCCAACTTCGTACTTCAATTCCTTCTTTTCTCTCTCCACCATTTTTAGCTTATCTTCCACTTCTTTCTTCTGTTCTTCTATTAATTTTAGGTCCTCTTCCATTGCTCTCATTCTTCTCAGCAACCCAGGAATTAGTTCTTTTCCTCTTGCACAGGTTGGTGCGTCCATCCACTCCCAATGATGCCCATTTCCTCTGTTTCTCTGCAAAGTACGTTTCATAACATCAAAGCTAAACCCACCAAGCAACAAAATAAAATTTCACAGATTAACTTACTCGACTCATCTTACAAGCCTTAAATATTCTCCTAGGATTTAAATCAGTCCATGAAGTCCAGGTTTTGATATATCCACCGCACCTGCATAACTTCCTCGCACTAGGGCTCGGATTTGTTGATGAAGAAGAAATCTGTGACATTTTTGCACATGCACTGTGTGGGCTTCCCAGATTTCCTTCGAATTTCGAAAATTTCAGCACATCTACTGTTTTTATGTGGCTTTCTTCGAATATAAATGGGAATTAGGGATTTATTTGGCCCCAGATTTGACATTTTTCGAAGGGAAGTTGCTGTAGATGGGAGGTTGCACATGCCATACTTCAAAAGACAAATTTGCCCATGAAATTAACACCACGTTAGCCAGACTTGACGGAAGGACTACTGGTGCAACGAAACACACAGTTAAGTGACCTCTGCAACTAATAATTGAGTTCAGTGACCCAAATGCAACTACGGGTATAGTTGAGGGACCATTGCTGCTAAAAACCCTATTTTTTATTTTACTCTCCCTAGTACTACATGCTCTCTATGTAGTTAAATCACTCTTTTCCAACTAGAGCATGTGTTGGTACCAACTTTTGTTCCAATTCTACTCTTTCAACACCATATTTTTGTCCTTTAAAAACAGTTGCATTTCTTTTGGTGCAAAAAAGAAAATCATTGTCAAAAAACAAATATGTCTTTTCCCCCATATTAGATAATGCGAACTTGATTTGGTACCATCTTTTTGTATTGGGTCTTTTTGTGAGCTCTCTCTTCTTTCTTTTTATTGACAAAAAAGAAAAAGAAAAGAAAGACTTGTTTTTAGTTTTTCCTTTGCCTATTGGTTTGGCTCTATTCTTTTCAAAGACAAGAGAAAGTGGGCTTTCCCCATCCCACGCTTGCTTCACGGTGTTTACAGTCCCCGCCAAAAGCAAAAGAACATAAATTTTGTGTTTGTCCTCATACCCTACACACGTAATAACCAAGATTCCTTTTGCTTTTGGTAACACAATTGCTTCCTGTCGTCTGTTTTCAAATGTTTGATTTTATTCCAATTATTAAGAGCATGATATTTTGGAAGTTTTATGGTCACATAAGGGGTTTTACTATGTTTATGAAGAAGGAGATATTCTCCAGTTTGATACCATCGCAATTTAAAGACACGTTTAAATTTTTATCTATTTTTATAACGGAATAAGCAGGATTCTCTCATTTGATTTACAGATTGAAGAAGTAGGTCATCTCATTATGACAAATAGGCATAATAGTCATCCACATCAGTCCCGAAATTAGACGGAAATTTAGATGTATCCGTGACTTGTTGCCTTTTAATTTTTGCATCTATACTCTATATCTACCATAACCGTCTTTGTTTGGGGTTTGTTGTACTGATTTAAATCTATATTTTGCCGTCCCCAGAACGCAAATTTTAAAAGAAAGAAAAAACTATGTATTCTTTGCGAGTCTCTTGAGTCGTTTTGGGGTTCGAAAGATTGAAGTAATCTTTACGAAATCCCAGTCAATGATTAACTCGACACTTCTGACATATTCTTCAGATTTAATTTAAGGATATATACAAGAAGTTGGAAATAGATATAACTATTTTTTTTTATATAATTATTTTCTTAGAGATTCGTTTTGTTCTCTGCCCTATTCTATTTCTTTATTCTGTTTTGTCTTTTCCTCTCTATATTATTCACTACACTGATTCTTATATATTCCTTTATTCTTTCTTAAAACATTAAACAAAAATACAACTTTCATAAATTATATGGAACCAGGCAGGTGCTACAATTTTCTAATATCATTGCTCTTCATAATTATTAACATACTATTTTAAATCACTTAGAGAATGCATCATAATTACGTAAGGAGAGAGTGAATAATATTTCCCTCAATTAAAAAAAAAATGTTATATTCATACTAAGATGTGAAAAACATATGACTCGTTACGATAAGTTGTTCTTTGTGATGATTATGTAAGGAATAGCTATTTTCTTAATAATGTTTAGTATAATAGATTCATTTCTATTGTTGGAAAAATGAGTTAACAATTTAGCTAATTCATTGGATATTGATTAAGACTAGACTCTCAATTATGTTAAGAATATAAAGTCTCATATTGAAAATTTGACTAAATAAAATACAATATATAATGAATAGTTCCACTATTAATGAAATCGAGACCTTTTACATAAAAAAAGAATTGGACATAAACACCTCTCAAACAAAAGAACAAATGGCTTATATTAGATATATATATGTTAAAGTTAAGAAAGGGAGGTGGGTGGGGGGTGTCAAACTCGGATACAGGAGTACCATGAGGACATGAAACTAGAACCCTAAGCTAATCCAACTAACACTAACCTAAAACCCTAACCTAAAACTAGTTGTGAACAAAATGCAATATTCCGCCCGCCAAATGTCGAGGTAGAAGGAAGCAAAAGCCTAAAAAAAAGACGATACCTATTCTTCATTAATAAGTTATTTATTAGAGTGTGAGCTTAAGCTATCTATATTATTATTTTTTACAATAATAATAATTAAAAAAAAGAAAAAAAGAAAAAAAAGACAAACAAAGAGATCAAGTCAAGAGTTGAGCTAACGAGGCAAATGATTTCCATTGAATCTCATAGAAAATTAGAATAGGGACAGATTGGAAGTAGCTAACTGGTAAGCAAATATGTGTTGGTTACAGCTGTATTCACGACCACCTCTCTATTTCTCTATCTCTCTCATCTCATCATCTCATACTTTTCTTTCCTAAATGATTAATAAATAAACCATGATATAATAATAGCACAATAATCATCTGCCTATAATTTCACAAAATTCGTGTTAGAGGATGATAGTCCATGATGATTATTTTGTATTTTTTCAGAGAATAACTGCATGATGATTTTTTTTGCCGCCGTTGACTACTGAATCGCATATACGAAAAATATGCAACTCACTAACACATTTAATGAATGACTAACATTAGAATCTTTAACATAAAATTCTTACGTGAGAAGCTCCCGTTTATACTTATTGATTAATAAAGTTCTCTCATGACAAGAATGTAGTTAAATTTCCTCTCTTCCTTAATATCGCTTATAAAAAATATTTCTCAAATAAAGTTAAGGTTCCTTAAAAAAAGAAATTTAAAGTAATTATTATTATCGAAGATACACAATCTGACAACATAAATATGACAAAACATTACCATACATACAATTTTATTTCAACGTGAACAAACAAAAGAAACTGAAAATGAAAGTAAATTGTATATGGTGATGCAGAGTGAGAAGGAGATGACGATAGTTTTTTGGTTTCGTTATTCTGGGAGGAGGGTGTTGTGGTGTGCTGTGTGTCCTCGTGATCCGTGCACAGTCTACGTGATATCCAAAGCAGCAGAAGACTCTGTTAAAATAAGACTTCAGCAAAACAACAACAACAGGAAGAGCAGAAGCAACAACAATAAATACCCACTTCCCATCTCTTTCTGTTAACTAATGAAGCCCTCTCTCTCTCTTCCTCTTTCTCTCTCTTTTCTTGCTCAGTTCGCATCAATCATTCACTCATAGTATTTATTGCAACCCACATTCGCTTCGTTCCTTTTCCCTAAAAGAAGAGCAAGAGATTTCTCGTATTGGGTAAGCCAGTTTTTGGTGTTTCTCTCTGTTGTCGTTGTTGTTCTTTTGTTGGGACTTCTTTTCTTCACATGCTTTGCTGCTGAATTTCTGCTCTTGTTTCAGCTCCGCAAGTTAGGTACTCTATTTCTTTGTCCGTTTTTCTCTTTTGTTTCTGCGCTATGCTTCCAGTCTTTGTTTATGTGACTCTAAAGACTCTGTTTTTTTCTTTCAAAATCTGAATGTTTCTTATCTTCTGGGGCTTCCATTGTGCTGAATTATGTGCTTGGTTGGAATATTTTTGTGGGTTGAGCTTAGTTTGTTGAAATTTGAACCGGGGTGCTTTTGTTTTGGCTCAATGGTCTGCTGGGTGCATGTATTTTGCTGTTGAGTGTTTTGGTAACAACATGAGCGTTTGAGATGGTTCTGAAATTTATTGGTGTGTTTAGTTGTAAATTTCAAGTGCAATAGATTCCTTAGAATCCTAAATTTTTTTGGTCCATGGGAAACTATCGGAGCAACACTCACTACAAGCTTCCATAAATTGACCATAAGTAAAACAATCAGCTTTTTGGCTGGAAGGATTTGTTACTTTCTTAGTGTTTGTACGTCCCTATGCTCTTTTCCTGTTTCTCAGTAATCAGTATATAATGGAGTGTGGTTGACTTACATACATGTAAAGGAATGCTAAGTTGGCTTTACAAAGATGTAATCTGACTCAGAGCTGTTACATTAGTGGGAAATTGTGTCGAAGACTTCTCACGGGTGATAAAGAGGGCAAATTAATGGCGTCCCAAGAACAACCCTTACAAACAATTGATATGAGATGTTTTACCCTCAATGGATATTTATCTGATGCTAACTTGGCTCGTATATTCATTCATTTAAATGGAAACCTAGCTTCACCTATTGGCCGAGGTTGGATAAATGCCAAATGGACCTTATATTTCATTAATTTTCTCAGATCACATGGCTCTTTGTATAATGGAAAACTTATTGTGTGTATCGGATACACAACATGGCATACCTGCTTGGTGTATCGAATCCACCCATATTCTAACAGTGTACAATCATTAACACAGTATAATGGTTTCAGTTCAACATTTTGGGCTTAGACATTAATGATTGTACACTCGTTATAATATGGGTGGATTTATACATTGGTCGGCATGCTACGTGGGGCATCAGATACACACAATAATTTATTGTGTAAATGAAGTGAAGCAGTGAACACTTGGATTTCTTTCTTTTAGCAGTTTTTGTTTTGGTCAAGTTTCTTTTAGGTGTATTATTTTCTTCAATCTGCTTATTCCAAAAAAGAAAGCAGAAAGACAAAAGAAAGTACGATCCTACCTTCTATTAGTGTCTTCCTTATTTCATATGGGAATTCTAGCAGAAAACTACTCATGTGTATAACAACTATTTTGAGCGAATTTCTCGGATTATTTGTGTGTGAAGTAAAATACTTCTATTTTCCATGGAAAATAAATTCAAATGAAAGATAGGGAATTCCCGTAAGGCACTTGTGTGTTTTTTTCCTTCTGTATGGAACCATGGAATAATTGATTAGAAAGTTGTTCACTTGATTAAGAAACATGAATGAGAGTAATAGACAGCTAAATCAAGTTAGTTGATTTTTGGCTGCGCTGTTTGATGATTACAGTGATAAGGTATATTGTGTAATTTGTCAGATGACTATCAGCTTGTGATTATGATGGGACAGCTTTGGCTTGAAGCTGGTAATCTAACACTATTGCTACTGGAAAAATCCAGGAATTTGATTTGGCCTTAGTACTGATATTAACCTGATGCAAATAGAGCTCTGCAGGTGTGTAAGCTAAAGGGTTTGTATATCTTTTAAGTTGGGTTCTTCCTTGCATGGAATCAAAGCTTATTCTTGCTGGAAATTACTATGGATTCTCAGTCAGTAGTTGATCTAAGAATAAAAGAGAGACAATTTTGCTAGCTCTCTTATTTCCATTTTATTCCTCTAAGGTTGGATCATATGATTTGAGACAAGTATGAAACAGTCATTTGATAAAATGGGCATTGTTGGGGTTTGCTTTAATATTTCAGAATGCGAAAATCAGATGAATTCAGAGGTTGACCTATACCTATGAAATATACTGAGATGCTAACAGTGCTGATGATATGTGTTGTTGTAGTACGCTAAGGTGGTCTCAATCAATGAATTGATGTCAGAAATTAGACATAATTCCTTTGTGCTTCCCTGATCTTTCTGCTTCAACTCCTTTATGATCCAACTGTCCCTTCGTTTTAGGATGAAAGGATGATAACTCATTTTTGAGGCAGTGGGGGAAATGGTTGAAAGTCTCACATAGATTTAACACCAGGTTCTAGTGCGGTAATTACTTTTGCAAATTGAAGAAAATGTTTGAAATCTTTGGAATGAACTACCATCATTCTTAACCTCTTTTAATCCTTTTATTAATTCAACTCATTTCTTTTTCATCTGCTTCTAGAGCTTGTAATGAAATGTTGACCGCATCTCTGCTCAGTATGAAACTTTGATGTATTTCTCACTGTAGCTCCCTTAATAGGCAGGCTTATTCACTTTTGTTAGGATTAGGACTATGGCAGTGGTTTTGGATCTTCCTTTCCTGTCCTTAAAGTGTTGTTTATTGTCCTCTTGGTTCACTTTCAATGTTTTTGTCTAAATATTTGTGGTTCTCCACTGAATTTTCATATCTGCCTCTGGTTCTCTCCATATCGGTTCTCAGTTTATCACAGTGGAGAAATTGGTTAGAAAGGGTAAAGGTCACAGGCCTCTGTGTCTATTTTATGATCTTTTTTGTTATATTCATAATGGCACTTCTTTTCACTTGTTTGTTCTTCAAATATTAAAATAGTTATTGGCATGTGGATTGACAGGCTGCTGCTCAGACACAAATCATCAAGGAATTCAAAGTTTCAACAAAAATCATGTATTGCAAAGGCCTCTGAGTACACAAGGAACTGTCTATGTGAGTATATTTAAATAGACTATTGGTGTAACCTGTTTCTCGTCTGGCCAAAAACCTGTCTTTCTTTTAATGTTTACCATTTTGGCATTTTCTAACACCGAACACTATAACAACTTTCATATTCCTTCCCTGCAGTTAACTGAATTTTCATTATATACTTGTCTGATTTTAAATTGGTTTTTCTAAATTGGTTTTTGTATGTGTTTTAACTGACTACATGATGTTAAGATTTTTTCTACTTTCCTTTCAGTTTTAGTTACATGATGCCATCAGATTTCATCACTTAATATTTTGCGATCTAAAAATTGTCACTATTCTGCTGGTGCCACAGGCCGTCCAAGAATATGGCTTTGGATATAATGGGGAAATTTTTGTGACCAGAATGGATCCTCAGGCTTTTATTAGGCTGTCAATAAGCTCACTGGGATTGAGGATTCCCGGAACAGCGTTGAAGTCTGAAAAATCTGGGATTCATGCATTCTCTTCTCCATATTCGTGTGAAATTCGTCTCCGAGGATTCCCTATGCAGACAGCGTCAGTCCCCTTAGTATCCTCTTCTGAAGCTACACTTGATTCTCATACCATTGCCTCAAGTTTTTACCTTGAAGAATCAGATATTAAAGCGTTGCTGGAACCTGGGTGTTTCTACAGTCCTCATGCCTTTCTGGAGATTGCTATTTTCACAGGGAAGAAGGGGTCCCACTGTGGTGTAGGGGTCAAAAGGCAGCAAATTGGGACATATAAACTGGAGGTTGGTCCTGAATGGGGGGAAGGAAAGCCAGTGGTTCTCTTTAGTGGGTGGATAGGTATTGGAAAAAACAAGCAGGAGGGTGGAAAATTGAGCGCCGAGCTTCATTTGAGAGTAAGATTAGATCCTGATCCAAGATATGTATTCCAGTTTGACGATGTCACAAAACTGAGTCCTCAGGTTGTGCAGCTTCAAGGCTCCATTAAGCAGCCTATTTTCAGTTGCAAGTTCATCCGAGACAGGTGATGTGATTTATGTTTTCTCTCTAACTTACATTAAATGTTTAAAGCTTTTGAAAAGGCTGCTGCATGAAAACAAGAATATTAAAAGAAGCAAAGCAAAAGGACAAGTATGACAATGATTGCAAAGAACAATTTATTTTTCGTCAAACATTTATGCTTGTTCTAGATTCTTGTTGGATGAATAAGGCTTCCCAAGTTGTATAGTTTTGACTGGATTAGTTTCAAAAGGCAATCATCATTTTAAATTTCCATTGTTAGAGGTACAACAACTTCGGGTGTGAATCAGCATTTGGTTGATTAGATTGTCACATTATTGTCATGGTTGTTTTCTTTTTTGAACATTCACTATGCTTGGCTTAAAGTCATTTTCCGTGTCCCCTGTCGGTCTTGTTTCCCTGTTAGATGTTTAATAGCCATATTCTTTTCTATTTGAATTTTAACATTTGCCTTGTCAGGAATCAACCAGGCGTATATGTAACTACATAATAAATTTAGTAATAATCAAAACATTTCAATTTATCAACGAATATTCAAAATATGTTAGATACAGTATACAGCGTACGTAATTTTATCACCGAACTTTGGACTCGGTTTTCTAGTATTATGCAAAAACCGTGTATTCATTCTCTCCTGCTATGGACAAGTTGGTTTTCTCTTTTACATTTCACCTTGTGTCGATGAAGATTTTGATAGTTTAATGAATTGACAGGGTTCCCCATGCTGATCCATTGAGCACTTACTGGTCAGGTTCTGCTAACAATCCTGATCTCGAATCAGAGAGAAGAGAGAGAAAGGGATGGAAGGTGACCATACATGATCTATCTGGCTCGGCTGTTGCAGCAGCCTTTATAACAACTCCATTTGTTCCATCAACAGGTTGTGATTGGGTTGCAAGGTCCAACCCAGGAGCTTGGATGATTGTTAGTCCTGATCCTTGCAGGCCTGACAGTTGGCAGCCATGGGGAAAGCTTGAGGCATGGCGTGAGCGTGGCATTAGAGACTCCGTTTGCTGCCGATTTCGCCTTCTTTCTGAATGCCAGGAGGCAGTGGAGCTCCTCCAGTCTGAAATCCGCATCAATGCTGAAAAGGGTGGGGAGTTTTTCATAGACACAGACAAACAGATGCGAGCAGCAGCGGAGGCGGCAGCCGCCAGTCCAATACCAAGCCCACAAAGTAGTGGAGACTTTGCAGGTTTAGGTCCAGTTGTAGGTGGTTTTGTCATGAGCTGTAGAGTGCAAGGGGAAGGAAAGAGCAGCAAGCCATTGGTACAACTAGCCATGAGGCATGTTACGTGCGTGGAGGACGCCGCCATCTTCATGGCTCTTGCAGCTGCAGTTGATCTCAGCATTGAGGCATGTAGGCCCTTCCGCCGGAAGTTCAGGAAACCATCCTTCCATTCTTTATGAAAATTAAGAAAATTCGAGTTAAAGAATGGAGGTGATTAGCATCCATGCACCCAAAACAGCTATGTTTTTCTTGATTGCTGTAACATCTGGGGTTGTGTACAGGAAACTGTTGTTTACAACTCTCTCAAAACTTTCTAATGGTAGCATTAAGCCAAAGTGACGTCATTATACATCGTTTGGAAAGTAGTTTCTCATGGTGTCAGGAACTTTCTAATTTTATAAATACTAGCAAGTTGATTAGAGCTTGACTGCCTTTTTATTTTTTATTTTTTATACAAACGATTCTCTATAATATAATTTAAACTATGTGAACGGGAATTCAAACTCGGATGCAGAGTGGGAAGCACATCTGCTCTAGCTAATATGACTAAGCACGTGAACTTGTCTGCCTTTTAGTTCTTGAAACACTGAAAAGATATCCCCAAACCTCAAAATTATGATTTTTATGACCAAGCCAACAAACAAAACTAAACATATGAAAAGAAAAAAAGGCCTCGGAATCTAAATTGGCCCAAGACATTGTAGTTGGATGTGCAGCAATATTTTGAAGTTGAAAACCAGATGAAGGCAAGGCAATTCTGGAGTTGCTGTCACTTGCCACTACAAATTGGGGCTATAGCACTTGCCACTTCATGGTGGCTTTTGGTTTGTGGAGGATTTGAAATACTCATATGTTTGCAGGTGCTATTGCTGAACCATGTCCTATATTGTGACAGTTTTGAATAAGCAAATAAGAAAAAAAAGAAACAAAAAGAAATTGCTCTCAGAAATACAGGGAAATTGAAGCTTGATGATAGGGACAATAAATTGCTTTCAATCATGCAAGGTAATGGAAAGTGATGGATTCCGAAATTATTTTTAAGGGGTGCGGATTTGAAATAATAAGATGATTATAACACAGGAATGTAGAGAATAATTTAACCCAAAAAATAGGGGTGGGGAAGAAGAATAGGTTTCTTTTGATGCTACATCGTTTTCAAGTGTGACACAAGGACTTAATTGATAACAGATGGATCCAACAGGAAATGAAAAGGAGAGAATAGACCAAATACTAAGGGCCCGTTCATTAACATTTTCAGAGAATATTTTCAGAGAATGAAAATGAGAAAATAATTTGCATTTTCAAGATTCGAGAATGAATCTAGTAGATTAATTGGAAAATAGATTCAGAAAATAAAAACAGTGAAAACTTGCCTGGTAGGACAATTTGAGAATAATAATATGTGAGTTTTTTTTTCAAGTATATTTTTTGCTAATTTCTGTCCTTAAAAAAAAAATTTAATTCTGATATTTTTTAAAGGGCTGAAATTATTATAAACAATGAAATGTATAATTTGAGAATAATAATGTATAATTAAAATAAATTAAAATTCTATAGTTAGAAAAAATTCTATTATCTTTAGTGTAAAATAATATATTAAAAAAATATGAAATTTAATAATTTAATGAAACGCAACGACAAAAAAAAAGACAAATTAAAAAAAAAAGAAGAAAAATCAGACCAACCCAAAAAAAGAAAAAAGAAAAAAAAAGGCAATCAACCAATACACCAGATAGAAAATGAAAACGATAATTCGATGTTCTCAGTTTTTGTTCATAAGTTTGAATTTATTTTCAGAAAATAAATTCCAGTGAAAATGAAAACGACATACCGAACACGTTTTTGGTAGAAAATGAAAACGGGCCTTGAAAACGTTACCGAACGGCCCTAATAATTCTTTCAATTTTTCAATTCAACATGGAGTACAAACTGAAGTTCAAGATTGTCAATGGAAACTGAAAGAGAAGCAGCACGCAATTTCAATTTATATACTGAAAACAGTAGTAATACAGGCAACAGAATAAGGCTCCTTGGAAAACAATGTCAAGGCAACAACACCACATGCCCATCCTTTGAAACACGAAAAAAAGCAAATGGGGATTGAAAACCACCTGATGTTAGTAAATGTTACAAAGGCTACAGCACTAGGCTTCTGTTGTCTGAAATAACTTATCAACTTCTCCAATAATGGTTCGAGCTTCTTCAATTTCAGGGCCTTCCTTCTGGTTCAACTCGTCTTCTAATTCAGCCTGAAAATAAAGATCATGCTTAACAAATTGGGGCTAAAGGAGTTGATATCCAGAGTAAAGATAATGAAGACTTATACATACCAAGATTCCTTTAAGGTCAGCTAGTGAGGCCTCCAAGCGCTTCTGACAATCGGGAAGCATCATCCTTGATTCAGCCAGCACATTTTCCTGTAAGGAAAACAAAGAACACATGAATTTAATTTGGAATGGATAGATAGCTTTCCATTAAACCTTTTGACAACAAGTAAACAGCAGAGCTTCTCCAACCAATCAAAGGAAGGATTGAGTCGATGACCATTAGTTCAAACATTATGTGATCTAATAGGCTAATTTTTGGAACAACTAATGAATCCTCAAAAAGATAAAGAACAACTAGTAAACTAATTTATGCAGTTTAACTTTGCACTAGTCACAGTGCTCAACATGATATTTGGTAACCATATCTATACTTAGTGTATATTGCGGGCTTCTATGCAGTCCAAACCTTTATTCTTCTGTGATAAAACTGTTAAATTACCATGATTTCTAACACAGGGAAGTAAACAAACGAATCTGCACATTTATTTATACACGCACACTGCACATTGCATATCTGCACATCTACCAATCACCTCACCAATGTTTCAAAGATTTGAGTTAGAGGGCAAAATGAGCGATTACAAATTTCAAATAAGTCATCTGCTGATAGGAACTTGGCCATAAAACTTTACTAATGGTAAATATACTGATAGAATAGCTATTAATGAAAAATTAAGAACAAATGTGGGACTTATTTTTCTAATATTGCGGTGGAAGCTTGTTAAGTGATTTTCCACATTTGTTCATGGGGTTAAAGTATATCTTACCCCTTTCTAAACATTATGAGGTTCCAATAACAACAGACTGATAAACAGAAAGGTAGAATTGCTGCAGAAATTATTTAAAAGGAAAAAAGTGAACCTAATTTGAGAAATCTTAAGAAAGCTGTAAGCTTCACTAAGTGCAATAACAGATTCCCACTGCAGGAAATGAAATATACCTAAATAACATAAATTGCAAAGAACATGTGCGACTGACATGTCACGAACAGAAAATATGACAAATTCCACAAAACCATGCAATTCCCAAATTCTACAAATCTTAACTGAGCTAATAACGGAACTAATTTCTTGTTTTCAACTAATCAAACGTCTGAAACAACAATAGTTTCATAAGAAGAACAACTGCAGTAGTATATAAATTTAAAAACGATGACAACTTAATGATGCAATCTGGTCTGTGATGCATGTCTGGACCATACCTGTTGCTTCAGGTCATAAGGGTCAGCTCCTTTCTCCTTCATGTCTGCTGTTTTTGCAGCTTCTCTCTCAACCTCCTTCTCATAAGAATGAAGCTCCTTAACAATGCGTTTGCAAGTACCAGTCTTGATTTTCAGATTTCTTAGGGATGCCATACTAACCTATCAAAAGAAGCACTTTCTTGAGTAAAATGCTAACTATAATAAATCATTTTCGAAAAATATCCCATTTGGATATGGAAAATCTTCAAAAACTAGGATACGAGTCGGCAAGGATACCGCAATTAAATAGAAAATTTGATTGTTCATCTATCATCTTCTCATTCGCACTAGAACTATTGCCCATGCCCACATCCCCACACTACTCATTTCTGTTCGAAAATATCATTTTGATAAAGGAATCCATAATCTCTAGACAGGATTTGGATTTGGTTATAATGAATGAAGTTGAAATAATACATCTACAAAGTAAGTGAAGGAGCAACAAGAAGTTAACTTCAGTTCAGATTTAAAATCAAGAACAAAACCTGGTGGGTGGAGCAGATGCAGAACTTTCAGTGGAGAAGAAGAGGCTGGACCGTTATCCTTTCGCAATTTCTTTCTTCTTTGTTCTTCTTCCTTCTGGATCTGGACCTCTGGTTTTTTGAGTTGTTGCTGCCGTCTATTTTAAATTGGGAAAACCTCGAGAAGCAGGGGCTGGGAGTGAAAAATCAAGTTTTGAAAGTTACATTTGGACCCCACAGTTGCTATATAATTTTAAACAACGACGTAACGTTTCAAATAATTAGAAAATAACCCCACATTCTTTCACCTTATTTTTTGAATTATACTAGATTGAAGTCTAGTAAATATTTTGGATATTTTCAGAGTAAAATCTAATTTTTCTTTTAAGTTTATAATAAAACAATCTCCACTGGATCATTAAGATTAGACGAGTATAAACATCTAAATTACAACCTCCAGTTTACAAATCAGTTAAAGCATTAGGCACATAAGCATAAGTGGTATTTGGCATGAATTATTGTGACAGAAAATTGTGCGATTATATAAAAACCACTTAGCATTGTGGAATTTGTAGTTACAATGGTAAAATGCATGGTACGTATATTCATGTTTATATGTACTACTGTATGGATTAAAAGGTTAGATATGCGAAGTTAAGCTAAATTCCTGTTATCATCATTTAGTTTAGCTTTAAAAATTATCTTTAATAAGACTTATGTCCCTACTTATAACTTCGCTCATCGTTTTATTGAATCGGGTGGGTCACACTTTGTGCCCTACTTTTTGGTCAATGTGGAACACATTAGGTTCCAAAAAAACAAAGGGAGTTTCACTAAAACGCCCAAAATGGGGGTTGAAATTATAAAAAAACCCAAGCACTATTTAAACATATAAACACACCCAAAATCCATCATTACACACACTCAAAACCCATTTATAAACACACCCAAAAAGTTGACTTTGGGGTTGATTTTGGGTGTGTTTCTATGTTTAAATAGTGCTTGGATTTTTTTATAAATACATGTCTAGTATTGGGTTTATTTATAAATTTATAAAAAAGAAATAGGCCTTGATGAAGTAAAATTCATATGGTGAATTGCACTACAACACAGGACTCTTTGGTATTAGATTTGATGAATCCAACTTTTTAAATTCAAAAACAAAATTTGAGTTAAAAACTCAAAAAATCGATTTGGTAGACCTAGTTTTGAAAACCTAAACTCAAACATAATTAAAGTTTTTGAGTTTCTTATTTAAATAAGATACCAAACACTAGCAAGGTAACTCAAATAATTTTATTTGAGGAACACCCTTTAGGGTACCCTACAGTTTTTTTCCAATGATCCAAATAATTTATTTTTTAGGTCTTCATTCATAGATCATCCTTACAAAAAATTAGACAA